ACCGTTCGCATGTGATCAGTGCGAGAAGAGCTTCATGGATTCTTATAAACTTAAAAGACACATGAAAGTTCACACTGGAGAGAAGCCGTACGAATGTGATAAATGTGGGAGGAGTTTCAGGGATTCATCAAAACTTAAGAGACACATGATGATCCACACCGGAGAGAAGCCGTTCACATGCGATACATGTGGGAAGAGTTTCAAGGATTCAGCAGATCTTAAGAGTCACATGAGAATCCACACTGGAGAAAAGGCTTTCACGTGTGATCAGTGTGAAAAGAGATTCTCAAACAAACAAAATCTTAGGCTTCACATGAGAATCCACACTGGAGAGAAGCCGTTCACATGTGATCAGTGCGGGAAGAGTTTCGCACGAAAATCATGGCTTGATGTTCACATGAGAGTTCATACTGGAGAGAAGCAGTTCATGTGTGATCGGTGTGAAAAGAGATTCGCTCGGAGACAAAATCTTAAAGCTCACATGAAGACCCACACCGGAGAGAAGCCGTTCTCATGTGATCACTGCGGCAAAACATTTCTTTGGTCATCAAACCTGAAGAAACACCTGACAGTTCATACGAAGGAGAAGCCGCATTCATGTTCTGTGTGTGGAAAGAGTTTTTCACTGCTGCAACATTTACAACAACATCAGAAAATACACACTGGTGTGAGAGAGTACATGTGCTTTGAGTGTGAGAAGACTTTTATTACAGCTCAACATTTAAAACTGCACCAGATGATCCACACTGGAGAAAAACCTTACAAGTGTTCACACTGTGACAAGAGATTCAGTCTGTCTGGAAATCTGAAAGCGCATGAGAAGATCCACAGCAGAGAGAAGCTGCACACGTGTGATCAGTGTGGAAAGAGTTTCTCTATTAAAAGTCAGCTGAAGATACACATGAAGATCCACACAGTGGAGAAACCGCCTAGTGGAGAAACCAATTAGTTTCCTGACAGCCATGATGAGGGGCAGGACAGATTGTATGGGTGGGCGTTGTGACAATTTAATTTTGTGATCTTGAAGACTTCTACGAACTACTTATCAATTGAATCATCAAGATTGTCTTTATAAAAGCGATTTTTGTCTTTGTCTTAGCGATAATGATCAAGTGCTTGTGTTATAGATTGGCGGAGTGCGATATTGACAAAAATTAAATCAAATTGCAACCTTATCATGAAAATCATGAAATTTTTGTCAAGCCCTTAAAATAACAGTAGTCTACCCGTCATGTAAACATAACATATTGTCTCTAAATTAATGAAGCTCTGTTTAGTTTCCACTTGTTTTGACAACCACAATAAAAGCTTTAGCATAAGTTCTGCCAGGAAGACTTAATTACCACATTACTTGTTACCTTCAGGTTATCCAATCACGTTCTTATTCTTGTCGTATAAAAGATCGGTACTTACACATATTTGAGTTCGCAGATGCCGACGCGACAACAACCTCCACCCTCCCTACCACCACCAGGAGGGTCCCGTCTATACTTCCCTTGGGGTCAGCTGCGCCCGCCTTCGTCTTCAGGCAAGAAATGCTGATCCGCTACCCTCGGATTACGATCTATGGACGGGGCCTACGCCAAAAAACTTCGCAAATAATTGCCTGCTGGGCTGTCAATAAATGGATGCTTTGTTACATCATTTTATCTCCCGAGTCTTTCTGGTAGAAATATTGTGATGAAAGGATTTTCCTTGCTAGTTTGTAATGGGAATTAACAGATTCATTTACAAAATTGCAAGTAAGACTACGGGCTCTATCTTGCACCCGGCGCAAATGACTTTATACGCTAACGCACGTCTCATTCTTATTTTGCACGCGCGCAAAGCGGGCTTTTTTTCTCCGCAGACGCACGTCGATAAACTAGGGAATGAACTTGCGCTCCCTGGGCGGATCGGCACAAAAAGGAGGCGTGTTTCGGCACAAACATTCCCTGGTGCTATTTTACACTTCCAGAACACAATTGCGCCACTGACCAGAAAAAAACTGGTCTAAAGTCAGTTGCGCGTTGTTCATAATGCTATTTTAAGCGCGCATGCTTGCCCATAATGTAGCGGGTGCACAATGCGTATACACTTTGATTCTCTCAACAACACAGATGCAGCAGTTTTTATTTTTGCAAATCATACATTATAACAAGGGAAAATATGAACACATGAGGGAAATCACTGTGGTTTACATGAAGATGAAAAAAACTAAGTACCCAATTTTTTTAAGGCTAATTGTAGTACTGAAGGATCAGACCTGATTGCCCAATAGTGGCAAGAAACATAAGTATATAATGTTTAACCAACGCTGATGTCCGAGAGTTTCTCCCATCCCCATACAACGCCACCTCTCTGTCTTTCACTGTCCTGACGAGAACGTCGGTCTCATCGGCTGTGAACGCTCCTGGCGCGCGCCTGGTACAGTCACCGTTATAATAACAATCCATCATGCAACATGCGCACCTGCTCTTAAAGGGTTTGTTGGATGACGCACTGATTGCTTTATTTCACGTTACGCCCAAACCACACCTATGAATAATGAAGCTACTCCAGACCAACCCCTTTTAGATTTGCGCCAGGCGCAAGAGGCATTTATCCCGCCGGGAAAATAGCAACAGCGCCGGGACCCGCCCACAAAGTTACTTGCGCTTAGACACTTGCGTCAGATCGTTAAAATTGGGCCCTATAACAGAGAATGCAGTTGAAAATAATCTTGTTTAAAGTGGTGATGAACTGAGAAATTAAATTTTCCTTGAGCTTTTGACATCTAAGAGGTCGTCATATTATACATAGAATATCCTGTACGTTTCAGAACTGAAAACGTCGTTGTTAGTCTAATAAAAGCTTGTATTGACACCAGCCTCAGCAAACGACTCGTTTTTCAAAGTGGGGAACTATGACGTCAAAGAGGATAAAACCCCACCCCCGCAGAAAAAGATCAACGCCTACTTCAACACGGCCGGTTTAGCCTCACCCACCGATTCGCGCATTACACGCATAGCTAAATAACATAGACCTACAGCCTCCTACGACGTCATGGCCATTTTATGCTTCTGCGTAAGGTTGCGTTGGTTCGTGGTGCATTTCACCGCCAGAACGCTAGGGGGGTGTGTGGTTCGCAAATCTCTTTGCTAGTTTGTTTTGGTTCTGTGCGCCGGTTCCGCTTTTTCATTTCCGACAATGGCGAGCGAAAGAGAGAGAATGTTGTTGCAGCTGGAGCTAATCGACGTTGAACAACAAGACGACACAAACTTTGTCCCCATAGAACTAACACGGATGTCCAGGGCCCGTTCCACCTGAGCTGCCATACGCTGTTCGTAATGACTTGAAGGCTTTTTTTTTCAGTCTCCACATGGAACTGTGCAATGGCAGGATAATGTAGTTTCCCGTGGCAAACGTGGTTAGTACTGTATTATAAATAATGAAACCGTGAAAATTGCATTGAAAATAAACAACAAACTGTGTTTCAAACCAAACGTTGATTTTTTGATTGTTTGAAGTTTATTACAAGCAAAAAAGAAAGAAAAGAATATAGACATATACTGTATATTAACAATGAAATAAAAAAACAACACAGTTTATTCTTAGTTTAAATCTTTATTTACTTTCTTTATACAGTAAGAGTATTATAATTATCTTTACGAGGGTGCAAATGTTAAAAATGGGAGGGGGAAACATGAAAAGCTACACTCCTGAAATGATGTATAATCTGACCAATCACAGCCCTTGCAGTCTGCGTCGCCTCGACGCACAGTTACAAATATTTGGAGGTGCATGTCGTGCTACGGCGGAGGGGTCGAAGAGGGGCTCGCGTCGACGCACAGGGGTCTGCGGGGGAGTACGCCGTCCATTTGACGCAGAAGCATAAGGGCCTGTTCACATATCGTGTCTTTTGCTCACTCAAGTTCGTTATTTCAAATGTAAGTTAATCCAATTTTATCCTCATAGAAGTAGTGATGGCAAGATGAGGCTTCCTGAACCACTAAGACCTCGCAGCCCATTGCTTCACCCAAAGGTTCAATACTCGAAGCTTCATTCAGCATTAGTCACTAGTGACACCTAGCTACTGTGCAAAGAAATAGCAGACAAATTAAATCATTCTGAACCAATGACCCGCCCCCCTCCCGGTCTGTTTTATTTATTTATCTTCTTCTCACTGTTAATGTCTCTGTAACCTTTCATTTGCAATAATAAAGAGATCTGTGCAAACATTTGTCCATTGCCTGGGTATGAAATAAAACTTGTATCTTCTTTCTCTGTCTGCAATTTGTACAGAGACAACGGTCACAGCACACACACAATTAATTAATTATTTAAAAAAATGGATAGTGACAGTATGAACAACAAAAGTGACTGTGTTGAGTGCAGTGCTTATGGTGGAGTGACTCGAGGGAGTGTAATAAAGTAAGCAAACTGCAGTAAACACAGCAGTTTGGGGTGGATGAAGGAAAGGATTACAATAGATTTTTATTGAGAAAATGAATTCTTTTAAGTGTGTTGGGGTTTAGACAATTCCTCTTCTTGGACAAAACCTCTCCAGCCTTGGAAAAATAGCCTTTCACAAGGAACAGAGGACGTCAGTGTGCCAGCGGGTAAAAATGAAGATGCTTCTGTTGAGCCCAGACAGGGGAGGATTTCCTCTTTCTTGCTGGCTCCATTACCACGAAAAAGGAAGATGTCATAAAAAACAAACAAATCCAAAAGGGCAATCCAAATAAAAAAGCAGTCCAGTCCAGATCCAAAAATCCAAAGCAATCGAAAAAATCTTGTGTAATTAATATAACAAGAATATAACTAGTAGGCTATAATTGGTAATAACATATTAATTATTTTTAATAACTGATATGGTGCCCTAACACATATATGACACAATAATAACGATAATGAGATTTCTCTGACTCTCTGCTTCTACAACTGCTTCTACTGTTCCTGAAACACGAGCCGAACCGCAGACCGAACCGATGACGTTTTTACACAAACGTTTGTCATTAGTCACGTGATTTTCACGGTAACAAATGGCTCTGAACAAAACAAGCCTCGAATCGCGGCTTCATCTGGCGCGCTTTTTTTTTTCCACACAAGCTCGGTTCAAATGTCACATCACTAACTAGAAGTTTTGAAACGAGCAGGAATATCTGGAGGTGCTGCAACTGAACTGAGAAGAAGATGTTTGTTAAAGAACAGGTTGAGGAGAACTCGAGTGAAGCAGCAGAACCCTGGAGAATAAAACACGAGGAACAAGCAGGTTGGTGTCTATTTTTCTTTAATGACTGTTGTGGTACATTAAGATAACACAGATTTAGACACGAGGTATCCGCTGAAAAAGTTCTTAGGCTACTAGAACCATGTTGTATTACTAACACTTTAACAGTTGAGTAAAGTTGGCAATACACTCACAAAGTCGAACTAAACATTACACAAATGACACCACTTTTGAATCGTAGTACAAATAACTTCACTGTCACACACTTTAGTGTCACCAAACTCAGTTAATACACCACTGCTGTCTTGATGGTTATACTACAACACTTATTTTGGTAACTTATACAAGTATTTTCGCATAATTTTATGATTTTTATTAATGGAAAATATTCAATAACTTCAACCAAATTCAGTTCAAGCATAACTGCTGTCCTGCTACTGTATGGGATTTTATGAAACATATTCAATAACTTCACTGTTAATTCACTGTATTGTTGCCAAATTAAGTGTACACATTACTGCTGCCCTTTTGATTAGACTACAACACATATTTTGGGGGTGGCATTTTTTTTTAAATTGTACACAATTGTAAATATATAATTTATTGCGATTTAAATTATTTATTAAGATATAAATATATATAAAGATATAAATTCTCTTTAACAACTGTTAGTGTCTGATGGAGTGACGAGGACTGTCTCAACAAATCTCTGTGCATTCAATTCAATTTAAAGAACTTTATTTATCCGTTAGGAACTTCATTCGTGTTGAGCATCAACAATGCGTGTACAGTTGCACAAACGTAGCACAGTATACCACACTCGCGCAAGTAATAAATAGTAATAAATAAATAAAGCTTGCAAAGCACAATAAGTACATGATAAATAAGTAGGCGTTAAAAAGGTTACGTTAAAAATAGATAAATAAAAAGCGATAAATAAATCACAAATCTGCACACATGGACATTAGGGGTGCACGATTCAGAAAATGTCACGATTCGATACCGATTTTTTGTCTCGAGATTCGATTCAAAATCGATTTTCGATTCAAAAACGATTCTCGATTCAAAAAACGATTCGCAGGTCTACATAAATGTAGTTTACTTTTTCCTATGTGATTGATTGCAGTAGACATAATTTAAAAGAAAAGTTTGATATTACTTTATATGTCTTCATACAAAAATAAAAACTTTTGCAACTAAAAAGTGCGAAGTGCCAACCCAGATAGCAAACTGACATTGAATCAACGTGGAAATATGACATCGAAACAACGTTGATCTGACATTGTTTTGCTCATCGAATTAACGTTGAACCAACGTCAGACGCGTCATTCTTTCAAAACTAACGGAAAATCAACATAAAATCAACGCGTTGTTTCAACGTTATGAAAGCAAACCAATTTTCGATTTTATTTAGCTTTGAAGAATGCCGCGTCTGACGTTGGTTCAACGTTAATTCGATGAGCAAATCAACGTTGTTTCAATGTCATGAGAGACGTCGTTTCCACGTTGATTCAATGTCAGTTTGCTGTCTGGGAAGCTTTGGCCAGCTTTTAAATACATTTAATTCAAGTTTAAAATAAAACTTAAATAAAAAGCTTTTACATTTAGCTTTAAAGTGCTGTAGTCAGATCAAACAAACAATTATGCTAAATGTGGTTTAAGGAGTAGGCCTACTTCAGCTACCAGGTTGACTGTTGAAATGTGAACTCGACTGGGAACATTGAACTTCCTAAAAATATAATTTCATAGAACCCTTGCGAAAATATTTTAAATAGATTTAAAAAAGCCACCGCTAACTGGTAACATCTATGGTTAGATTGATTTGTTTAGATCCAGTGAAGTCGTTCATAGGCGCGTAATTTGCGGGTATCTCCAGTTAACTAGCAGAGCATTCATTTAGGTCGCTATTAAATAAGAGACCTGTCGTTTTTGAAATCAAGCTGAGCGCTCGTGTCCGCTGCAATCAGTGTCATGGATATACAGTGTTCTCTGTGGCTCGCGCAGTCTTCTCTCGGCTTCAATCTACCGCCGTTATGGATACTCCGGTGAAATCACAAAATAAAATGCACACAAACGTGATGAACATATTCGCTTTGATGAGAGAGAGAAAAAACTATACGAGTGCTGTTTAGAACCCGTAACCTCTGACACGCTTGGCAAAAGATCTACAGAACTCAAACATAAGATCTGCGGATCGATGCATTTATTTACGGGTTCAGCAGAGTGGCTGCACAGTTTGACCAGCGGGCGGCAAGAACTTGCAATAACTATTTATCAGACCGGCCCTCGCAGCCTCGAAACCATAGAAACCAGTGTTGTAGTCGAGACCACCTCACTCGAGTCCGAGTCGACACTGAGACCAGAGAGAGTCGAGTCCGAGTCAAGACCGAGTCCATAGAGAGTCGAGTCCGAGACCAGAGACGGTCGAGTCCGAGTCGAGTCCGAGTCGACACTGAGACCAGAGAGAGTCGAGTCCGAGTCAAGACCGAGTCCATAGAGAGTCGAGTCCGAGTCGAGTCCGAGACCAGAGACGGTCGAGTCCGAGACCAGTGAGGGTTGATTACCTAATTTACTTTTATTTACTTAGAGAAATCCTTTTTTTTTTTTTTACTGAATTTACTTAGAGTTTTAAAAATATGATCAGTTTAGGGTTAAAAGGCCACATAGTAGGTGGTGTTAAAAGTAATTTTATTACAATTTGTCATGCGCAGTTGAAAATCTAGAAAATCACCAATCACTGAGCGTGTCAATCAATTTAAAGAAATATTTTATTAACATACATTAATAATCATGAAAAATATTTTGAATTGAACTCGAGTGGACTCGGGAATAATTCCGAGTCCTAAAAAAAAAAATGTTCGAGTACGAGTCAATTCCGAGTCCAAATGGACACGAGTCCATGACAAGACCAAGACCATTAAAATATGGTCTCGAGACCGAGTCCGAGACGAGTCCGAGTCTCGAGTACTACAACACTGATAGAAACACTACCGGACCACCGGTAAAAGTCCCGACTTACCCGATTGCCACTCCGCCCCTGCACGCCATTAAAAAATATAGCCTATGAATTGATTTTTGGAATTCTATGAATCGATTCTGAATCGGTAAAGATTGAATCGCGATTCAAATGTGAATCGATTTTTTTGCACACCCCTAATGGACATACGTCTTGGTGAATAAGTGTGATGGAAATTATTTTTTAAACGCAGATATATCAGCTTGTGTGCTTTATTAAACATAGATGTGTTTATATTCTAGATAGATGTGTTTCTACAACATAGATGTGATCTTATATACAGTAGATGTGTTCTTATTTTATATAGATGTGAATTCTTTTAAACGTAGAGTGTGTTAAAGAAAACAGCAGGATGCATTTCCTCCTTTGCAAGTGGGACATGAAAAATCTACAGTCTGTATATAACAATGTACAGTACATTGTCCAAAATAGATAAGCTTGCTGGTTGTGCTAGAGCAGAATGTCTTTAAGAAATGACCTATGTGTTGTTACTGTGAATAAATTAGGAAGAGGTGTTAGACTGTCAAGGGGCCTTAAGTGGGTACGAACAAACGCTATTGAATTCCGAGAACTGTGTGAGGAACTTATTCAAGATGTTGTGTTGAGATAAAAGGGGGAGGTGTACTGTTTAAAATATAAACTGGGTAAGGGGAGGAGACCTTTGTGCTTCTCATGTTAGACACTTGTCTATGTGTGAACTGCCTTTCTTATAAGAAATAAATACTCATGCTTATAATTTTCGAGATCTTCACTTGTTTAATTGCTGTTTAAGATTCAGGGACATCATTTCCATAACAATAAGTTTATCAACTATTCATGTTTCCAATAGAAGTAGGCACAAAACTTGTCTTGGCTCCCTTAGTCCTCTGTATTAGAGGTCTTCACAGTGCACCCGAGACCCGTCGGCCCCGGCCCCGACCCGGGACCCGTACGGGTTCGGGTCTATATTTTAAATGAGCAGCCGGGTCCGGGTCGGGTCCGAATCTATTACTTCGGGTCCCGGGTCTGTTTAACATTGTGTGTAATACCAACGCATTCTCATCCTTTAGCGTCATATAGGACGCGCCGTATAACAAAACGGCGAAATACTACTCACATGGCACCCGTTATCGTTAATATAACACGCGCTGAGAACGGGCTGGTAATACATGTGCGATTGGAGTGCGATCTCAAGCGCGTGTCATGTTTCTATGGCAACCAGAGCAGAGCTTCCGCCAAACCGCGCTTTGCATTTTCTCCAATGTTTATAATAATATAAATGAACCGTCTTGTTTAATCTTAAAGTTTTGGTGGTCAGATTCAGAATCAAGGAAGAGCAGAGAGCACAGATATGATCAAGCTGAACAAGCAATCGTTATTATAGTTCAAAAGGGCAAACAGTTAAAGTTATTATGCGAGTTAACTCGAGTCAGAATGTGCATGTGCAAGGCTGCATTTTTCATCCATCACCGTGACATCAAGTGGACTTTTAAAGCTGAAATAATGAGTGGATTAAGCTTGGAAAAACGAGAGAAAAAACATGGATAGAGCTTTCTTGTCGGTGGATTGTAGTGCATCACAGTCAGTCAGATAACGTCAGGAAGTGAGACGACGGCTACTAAAATTAGGTAAGACAAAAAGTTTTATTTTTCGCAACTCGTGTGAAATAATATGTGACAATCGGGTCCAGTCGGGTTTGTGTCTTCCTGCCGGGTTCGGGTCCAGTTTTCAAATAATAGACGGGTCCAGGTCGGGTCCGGGCAGGGCAGTACATTTATGGCATTTCTCGGGTCTGCACGGGTCCGGGTCCAACTTTTGAAATGAACTACGGGTCCGGGCCGGTTCGGTGTAGCACATTACAGGTCTCTTCCGGGTCGGGCATGAATTTTTGGACCCGTGAAGACCTCTACTCTGTATCTCTGACCCGAGGGTAAAATACTATAGACCATTTTACAAGATGTAAACAACACTGGTCCAGAAGCACTTCCTGTTTCAGTTTTTTAACACTAAATAAAAGCTGGGATAAAATACAACCAAAAGAACATTT